ATATATATACTTTGTAGTGTCTAAAATTTATGTTTCGAGGTGTTACAAACGGAATGACAAACTTAATATACCCTCCATACTATGGTGGAGGGTATAAAAAAATACCTGAATCCTTAACTAGGACTTCCTTAAAAATTATTTTTAAAAGAACACATGAAAAGTATTAGTAAAAATCCAAGATCCTTGACTAGGAGATTCTCAAAAATGCAATATCCTTGACTAAGAGGTCCTCAAAAATCCAAGATCCTTGACTAGGAGGTTCTCAAAAATGCAAGATCCTTGACTAAGAGGTCATCAAAAATCCAAGATTCTTGACTAGGATGTTCACAAAAATCCAAGATTCTTGACTCGGAGGTCCTTAAAAAATCCACGATTCCTGACTAGGAGGTTCTCAAAAATCCAAGATCCCTGACTAGGAGGTTCTCAAAAAATCCAGTGTCCTTGACTAGGAGATCCTTAAAAATGTCAGATCCTTGACGGGGAGGTCCTTAAAAAATCCACGTTCCTTTACTAACAAGACCCTAAGAAATCCACTATTCTTGATTGGGAAGTCTTAAAAAAATATGTTTGATTTTTTACGATTTTCTTGAAAAATATAAAAATCCCCAAATCGTAGCCATGAATTCGTAACTTTTTTTTAAACCCCCAATTTTCAGTAGTGAAATTCTTGATAGGAAAAAATTCTTAAAAATCAAAGATTTTTAGGAACTGCTGGGAGAAAGTCACTTCGTAATAGAAAATCGTGAAGCTCATAAAAATTAATATCCAAAATATTCCTAAGCAAAATGTGTAAATACTCGAAAAGAAGGTTTTGATTCCTAAATATCAAAAACATTCGGTAGGTCTGTAAAAAAAAACAAAAATTTTGAAAAAAAATCTAGGAGATCTTTTCAAAAAAAAAGGCTACTAAATTTATGACCTACGACAGTCAAGTCAGTAGAAATGTGCTTCCAAAATTCTTAAATTTTCGATCAATAGGTCCTTAAATTATTTAAAATTCACAATTTTTATTTCAGCAAAGATGTTCCTAAAAAACAAATTTTTTATGGAATTCTTCCGGAAATACCGTAGATTTTGAGGAATTATGCATCCAATTCTCTACAAATTACACACTTCACAATATTTTTATTAACTCCGAATATTTCCACACTTTTCAAAAAATTGCACATATCACATATAAAGTATAGAAAGTAGTCGATATAGTCTAAATCTGTCACGATGTAACATTTATATCTGTCTTAGGTCAGATACGATTTGGTCAATAATGGCCAACTGCTTTGGAACCTCCCCCATAAATGGTAAACAGTTTAAATTATCATTCCCCAAGGCTAGGGGGATAAATCTGTCGGCAAAACCGACCGATACTATATTACTTGTTAGGCCTATGTTTTCCACAAAATTTAAAAATCTTGTAATCATAAGTTTAATCATATAAATAGCTCCTTGGTATAAAAGTATTACAATATGTTTATGTTTTCTTTTAAATCATTGCTTTTCGGTCCATATCTTTGATCCTTTAAGCATACATATGAGTATTGAATGTATTTGTTTTCTAGTTTCTTCTCATCTATTTTTCTTTTCTAACAAAGCAATTTTACATGTTTTCTATTTGTATTATAAATCTTCTATTGATTGATTCGCATAAAATATTTTTTCTAAAAAGAAAACATTTCATTTTCCAAAGGCAAAAACGTTTTTTTTTTTTTTTTCTTTTTCTCCCTTTTTCCCCAAAGGTAATATAAACTGCTTTCAAGATTGCACATTCGAATAAATAAACTATGATAAATTGCGTTCTGTGCTTTGAAAGGTCATATAATATGCAAATGCAGTTGAAAGAAAAGTTTTTTTTTTGCCAACTTTGTTGAAACCCAACATCGATTCAGGTGAATTTTATATTCTACTCTGCTGCAGTTTTTATTTTAGTATCCTTTTTTTGTGAAAACAAAGTTGTTTTTGTGTGTAACAACATCAATAGATAGTAACAAGCATCTTCACACAAGCATGTGTGCGTGTGTTTGTTTGTGTATGCGGTTTATTTGTATTTATGTGTGTTTTAATGGAATATGTACATAAAATTCATTCATTTTTGGGGAAAAAATAAGTTTAAAACTCAGTCACTGATATTCTGACTAACAAAAATAAACAAATAAACAACTGCAGTATTTTTTTAGCCCAACGCATCAACATTCAGTTTAGGGAATAACACAATAAACTCTATAGCATTTTTAGGTCCTTCTTCCCTGATTAAAATTTTTAATTACGAAAATTTGTATTTATACCTACTTACAAATGGCATTTCTAATAATTTTTTGGAAAAAATAGTATATTTTTCCAAACAGACTATTTATTATCTGCTATTTAATATAAGGTCCATAAATAATGTGTCTCCCACTTATTGGAATTGCTATGGTTCCAAAAGTAATTACACCCTCAGGCATGTGGTTACAGAGGGTATAAATCATGTAATACATCCAAAACGTGCATAGTCGAAGTAAGGATAATAGACCTTTGGACCAAATCCGTTTCAGGAGTCGATCTAGCGAAGTCCGCCAGTCTGTCTACTGGCTGGAGAGCACGATAACCCTCGGAGGGAGTATCCGATTTGGGCCAAACTTGGGACATCGTAATATTATTATCAAACCTAGATCGAGTTGGAAGATGGACAAATGGACGGCCCACTCCTTCTGGTAACCTCCTCACGAAGTCAAAATTTCAAAAAAAAAAAAAAAAAAAAAAAAACAACAAGTTAAAAAATATCCTCAGCCATTGTTCGATTATTTAAATATTCAGGGTGAGATAAAAAAATGTGAAAAATTCAAAAGCCACAATTTTTACATTTTTTTTTAAATTTTATTGAATTAAAGCAAATAATGTCAGAATTCGCATCAAATTTTAGAATAAGTTTAGATTTGTTCGAATTGGTCACCTTTGACACGAATTATGGCCTTCAAACGGCCAATGAAAACGTCACACGCTGCCCGAGTTTTACTCTGCGGTATTTTGGCCCATTCCCGGCGAAGCGCTTGCTTGAAGTGATCGACCCTTTGGTATTTTTTAGTACCAACCATGCTTTCCAAAATACCCCCAACACAATAGGCCAACGGATTGTTATCCGGAGATTTTGGTGGCCATTGTGCGCTGGAAATGAAGCGAGGAACCTTATTTTGTAACCATTTTTGGGTGGCGCGAGCTGAGTGCAATGGTGCTGAGTCCTGTTGGAATGTCCAAGGTCTGCGGCCAAAATGGTTGCTTGTCCAAGGCTTTAATACATCCTCCAGAATATTTTCGCGACAATATTCGGCATTTATTCTGATGCTAGTAAAAATATTGTGATGTGTGTAATTTGAAGAAAATCTCACATTTTCCAAAAGTTATAATTATTTAAAATGTTGACTCTTTGTGGGGAAGGTACTTGCTGGAGTGGACCGTTATTGTCTATTTTCGCACCTGACCTAGAACTTATGCGAATATCAGGATTTGCAAGGTTGGAGCAACATTGGTTTATCCTTCCTCTTTCTGTGCAGTAAAATATATTTTTTTGAAAATTTTGACCTCTTGTGGAGAGGTACAAGAAAGAGTTGGCCGATATTGCCCATCTCCGAACTCGATCAAAGTTTGATAACAATATTACAATGTACCATTAATACCTGTCTAGCCATGTGGCTGAGGGTATACCGAATACCGAATATAAGGAGTTATCGTTAGATTGGGGTCCATACGAAGACGGAGACAAATTTTGACATAGACCATTACAATATTCAAATACGAACCATCTAAAAATATCAAAATAATGAACATAGGGAGGAACCGTTATATGGAAGCTATACGAACACGAGGATCTATATAGCTCATTTTCAATACCAAAAATTCTGCAGGCCAAACACACATCTATTCGTTCGGAACCTAGAGTGATTTCCACAGACAGACGGACTTCCCTAAAAAAGTCATAAAAAAACATAAAATTTTATACTGATCAAGAATATATGAACTATGTGAGGTCTAAAATGTGTATTTCGAAGTGTTACAAACAGAATGGCAAACTTAATATACCCTCCATACTATGGTGGAGGGTATAAAAAGGTGATAGGTTCAAAGAAATCAGTTTTATCTCGCCTCTCTACATAAATAAAGAACCTCAAGCTATTTTTTTCAAGATCTGACTTTTATCAATAGCTCAAGTACAGCGATGTACCATCGTGTAACTTTTAGAACTTTACAAGTCCAAATTTGGATCTTTCATGTTAAAATTTCCAAACAGTTTGCTTTTCTCGCCCATGAGTGACCCTTACAAACAATTTCAAAGCAATAGCTTTTATATTTCAAAAATTGGTGTTTTACCATTTTGTACCTTTTAGTAAATTTGTACATTTGGTTCTCTTCGTACGCTTGAAATACGAAATTCCAAAAAACTTTATATTATCATCTCTCCGCTATTAAACTAGTACATATACAAAGTTTCAAAGCCTAAGAGCATTTCATGATTGATGATTTTTGACATTTTTAAATTGATTTTGCAGGAATGCCTACTTTTTTTAACTAAATACACATGGAAGTAAAAAAGACAAGCTATAGAAAAATATATGTGATCCAGGTGGTTATATTTGATCCCAAACCTCAGTATAACTAATATCACATATCATATCATATTGAACATTGCTATTATTTTTTTTTTTTTGCTATTTAATTTTTGTCAATTTTATAAACTATGCAGTGCATAGGCGAGCATCGCTTTTTTTCGCAAATGGAATTCCATTTGCTTGTCGCTCGCTGCCATGTTTTCGTGATGTAAGTTAATATTATAAAATGTTGAAGTTATTACACTTTCCCGTGAAAGTTCCATGTAAATTGGGCCAAACACACACTCACACACACATACATACACACACACACACAAATAGATATTCAACGAATGACAGTCACAAAGCCAGTTTTGAAAAAAGAAGAACAACGCGACGCGACGCGACGCGAGGCAAAACGAAACGAAACAAAATTTTATTTACCTGCTTGTACGTGCACATTTCGACTCAATATTGTGCCAACTTCATTGGTGGCACGGCAGCGATACATGGTCTCGTGTACATCGGTGCGATAGTATTGTGCCAGAAATGGTGGAAAGTATAGGGTCCCATTGCCAGATATTTTTCTGCAAAAAAAAAAAAAACAGAAGAGAAAAACAAAATATATGAAATATTGACACAAATATATGAATATGTTGGGCGCTATGTGGTATGTTGATGTTTACAAACGAAAAATTCCATATCTTTGGGGGAAAAAATATATTTATGAACAGGCATGGTTATTGGGAAAATACCTGCATAAATATGGTGGAAAAAAGCTAATAAATATTGATATCTTACACGATAGTTAAACATTGCGGATATCGGAAAAAAACAACAGATAATTGATGTATCCATTTACAAAGAACTAGATTTTTTTTCGATCGATACTGATTTGGAGATAAATAAAATTAAAGTTAACGAATTTTCGGTATAAGCCTCACCCAAACATTTTTGCACCTAAACCAATACAAGTTTACAAGTGTGTTTTGCTCTTAATTATTTACTGGGGAAAATTTACAATATTATTTGAATCCTATAAATCCAAGTATAAAATAAGTCATGAAATAATATTTTATTTATAGGGTTTTACAACTCAGAGCTTTTGGACAAAAATAACATTCCTTCAAACAAACAGACATAACTTTACATCCGTTGCAGCGTTCTATTGGAACCACATGTTTTCCAATACCAACTCATCAATTTGCGGCAAAAATTTGTCGCTGATCATTGCTTTGTAGCGTTCATCCTTCACAGAAACCGTTTGGCCCGCAACGTCTTCGAAAAAAAGGTCCGCTGACCCTATCGAAAATAGCACAGGGTGAGATAAAAGAACTGCAACATAGTCAAACGCCATAGTTTTCACATTTTTTTTTTTTTTTAATTTTATTGAATGAAAGCAAAAATGTCGGAAATAGCATCAGATTTTAGAATAAGTTCAGATTTGTTAGAATTGGTCGCCTTTGCACGAATAATGGCGTTCAAACGACCAATGAAACCGTCACACGATGCCCGAATGTTGCTCTGCGGTATCTTGGACCATTCCCGGCGATGCGCTTACTTGAGGTATCGACATTTTGGTATTTTTTAGTGCCAACTTTGCATTCCAAAATACTCCAGAAACAATATTCCAACGGATTGGTATCCAGAGATTTTGGTGGCCATTGTTCGCTGGAAATGAAGCGAGGAACCTCATTTTGTAACCATTCTTGGCTGGCGCGTGCTGAATGCGATGGTACTGAGTCCTTTTGGAATATCCAAGGCCTGCTGCCAAAATGCGTGCTAAAGGCTTTAATACACCCTCCAGAATATTTTCGCGATAATATTCTCCATTTATTCTGATGCCACGGTCGATTATTACGAGCGGAGAGCGACCATCGGCTGTTATGGCGGCCCCACCATCACACTGGCGCTTGAGTTCTGGTTGCCAACTGAAGGTGCACATTTTCAGCTGACCTCTTTGGCAAGTAAACACGATCATTTTGTTTGTTTACAAACTGCTTGACTGGACATCGAATGTTTTCTGATCGGAGAAAACCAAATTCGGCAGTTCACCACTTTCGGACAAGCGAATCAACTCTTTAGCTCTTTTGAGTCTATTTTCTTTCTGTTGCGGTGTAAGTTTTTGCACCTTTTGGAATTTCAATGACTTTACCCCGAGCTCAGTTTTCAATATTTGCCGAATGGAATATTGCGATATGTTTAGCTCACGAGCCATTTTTCAGCCACTGAACCGCCGGTTTCAATTGAGTCGCTTCTTCACTTTTCGAACCATTTCTGCTGATGTTGCTGTTTTCTTCCGTCCACTTCCTTAACGTCGGGCTACGCTACCAGCATCACGGTAACGAGCGATGGTACGAGACACAAACGAATTATTTACATTTGAATGCTGGAGTGCTCTGACGATAGCCACTTGTGGTTGTCCAGCCAAATATAAAGAAATCACACTATCACGCTGGAATTCCATCACGAATAATTTATTTTTTGGAAAATTCTCACCAAAATGCTTTTGTACGCTTGTAAACAATGTAATGAGCTGTCATTGGAATAATTTTGTCATCTCGCTCTGTATGGTGGCTATACGAAGACGTGGACCTGCATACACAATTTTTTTTTCAGAGGCTGTAGTACGCACCGCGTAATTTTGTATACGAAATTTGAAGCAATTCCGGTCTATAATGTCTTAAATACCATAAACAAATCGAATATTGTGAGGTACCGCTATATAGGGGCTATACGAAGACGAGGACCTGCATAAGTAATTTCTCGTCATAGGTTGTAGTTCCCGTTAAGATTTTTCATTACGAAATTTGAAACAATTCCGGTGCCGCTAAAGTCATATAAATACCGAATATTGAAAGGCACCAAGGAAAGGTATGGGGCTATACGTAAACGTGGACCGTCATGCCCCTTTAAGGAACTTAAGCTGCCAACTAGTAACATACACATGTGTAGCCTTCTATCTAAGCCGACAAGAATTTCACGCTAATCAAGAATATGTATTCGTTGTTGGGTCTGACATCAGTATTTCGAAGAGTTAGAAACGGAATCATAATAATAATATAACGATGTACCAAGTTTGGACGAAATCGGATACTCCCATCGAGTGTTAGCGGGCACACCAGCCTCGTCCCAAGAGATCTTATGTGAACTTGGCGATAAATCTACAGATACTTCCGACTAAACTGTATACTCAAAGCCAATTTATTATAACCCACTCAGATTATGGTACTGATGATAACGGACATTAGATTTTCAATTAGTTTTTCTATTCTAGTGTAATTTTTCTAGTTATTTAATACATAACTCATCAATATTAACTTATACTACAGCATTCACAATGATAATGGCCTTGTTGATCCTTCAGGCCTCGTTATTTAAAACTCATTTCCAAAATAGTCTTTAATGTCGACATTATCCAGCAACGTTCATTGACATCAACACCATATTCTAGTCGTTATACGCTTAAACGTAATTTAACAATTTATTTAAGTGTTCCGCAACATAATGTTCTTAAATGGGAATGACAAAGTCAACGTCAACAAATGCATCCATGCCTCTCCATCAACCACCATTCCAAAGCACATTCGAAAGCAAACATATTTTGATGCGTTTGAAGAGAAAAAATGTAGTCATTAATTTTCCCCAGTCGTATGTGATGGATGTACTAATGGTTCCTCGGAATTGCATTCCGCCACACGGGAACTTGAGAGAGCGAATGAGGAGGAGTGTGAACCGAATGCTGTTACGCTGAAAAAAATGCTGTGTATTTGAAAGAGACACTAAATTGGTAACATCATTAACATTGCGAATATTAGAATGTGAGGTAATGAGGTCAAAAAATATATATATATATTTCAACTTTGTCAAAGATATATGGCTTAATGTAGTGTCTTCAATAATTTCATATTTTTTGCGAGATAAAGAAAATAATTTATTTCTTAAAGTTACAAATTCCGTTACAACCTAGTGTTAAAATGTCACACCAGAAGATAATTTCTTCAGACATTTCTCAATAAATTTCTATTTTTGTTTTGTGTAAATGAAAAGTCACGAATACAATTTGAAATATATTTGCAACAGAGTAGTGACATATTGAAACGTAATTAGCTTTTGGTCCATTAATTTAGCTAATTCGGGTTGATTATATTTAGAAACCAGTAAGGAAAAGTCGGGCGGGGCCGACTTATTATACCCTACACAACTATGCGTATTTAGTAGAGCTCAGGTAACAAAAAAAAGTTTATATTGGGGATTTATGTGAAGTAGATCATACCAACTATGAACCAAATAACGTTGCTGTATAGTGCATGGTAAGGCTTCGATAAGGATTGTATTAAAACATATTTATTGGAAGAATAGATATACCCGACTGAGTTTAACCATATGGTAAAATTCGGTTGTGTATGAAAAAATCTATTCAATTTGGGCTGATATTATAAATATGGTAAGCAATAGCCATAAAATCGGATGCAGATGTATATCGAAGCAATATAAAAATCTGAACCGAATTCCATACAATTTGGCAGAGGTATTGTCGAGCAGTATCTGATATCGGGTATCAAAAATCATTCCTGTTGAGTGCCTATCACGCATGTGAGGGACTTAAAACCCCAAATCGGATGAAACATATACAGAATGATATGAAAAAAATGCAACCAATTTCAGACTGCTGTCAATTCTAAGCCACTCGCCCGACAGTTGTTAAAATTATTCCAGTGACAGCTCATTATATTGTTTACAAGCGTACAAAAGCATTTTGATGAGAGTTTTCCAGAAAAAAAGTTATTCGTGATGGAATTCAAGCGTGATAGTATGATTTTTTTATATTTGGTTGGAAAACCACAAGTGGCTATCGTTAGAGCACTCCAGCATTTAAATGGGAATAAATCTTTTGTGTCTCATACCATCGCTCGTTACCGTGACGCTACCAGTAGTGTAGTCCAACGTCAGGTAAGTGGACGGAAGAAAACAGCAACATCAGCAGGAATGGTTCGAAAAGTAAAGAAGCGTCTTGATCGAAACCCGCGTCCCAGTGTCCGAAAATGGGCTCTTGAGCTGAACATATCGCAATATTCCATTCGGGAAATATTGAAAAATTACCCGGGGTAAAACCATTGAAATCCAAAAAAGTGCAAGAACTTACCCCGCAACTGAAAGAAAATAGACTCAAAAGAGCTAACGAGTTGCTTTGTTTGGCCGAACTTGGGTTTCTCCGCTCCGATGAGAAAACATTCGTTGTCCAGCATTTTGTTGTAAACAAAAAAAATTATCGTATTTACTTGCCAAGTAGGTCTGCTGAAAATATGCACCTTCGGTTATCCAACAGAACTCAAGCGCCGGTCATGGTGATGGTGTGGGCTGCCATAACAGCCGATCATCGCTCTCCGCTCGTACTAATCGACCGTGGCATCAGAACAAATGTCGAATATTATTGCGAAAATATTCTGGAGGATGTATTAAAGCCTTGGGCACGCAAACATTTTGGCCGCAGACCTTGAACATTCCAACAGGACACAGCACCATCGCACTCGCCATCCAAGAATGGTTACAAAATGAGGTTCCTCGTTTCATTTCTAGAGTACAG